CAGTTAGAGAACCACTGGAAAACCTGGGAGTACTGGACAGCTGTTTGGTCCTAGTTTGGGATTCCTCAGCAGTACGCACCCACCGAGGTTCGAACCCAGGACCTTCTTGAATGGGCAGAAGTTAGGATTCAAGAACCATTGGATCAGGTCCCAATGGCTCAATGTTCTACGAGCTCGCCTTGTAACCAGAAGGTCCTGGGTTCGAACCCCGGTGGGTGCGTACTGCTGAACAGTCCCAAACCACTGTGACGAAACAGCTGTCCAGTACTCCCAGGTTTTCCAGTGGTTCTCTAACTGATGTCAGCTCATGATTAAATCTTCCATACAGTATTATTTTTGTTCCCTTGGGTTCTGAGAGGAACATAAGTCTACAACAGTACGTGTTCATTTTGTATTATCCTCTGCAGTCTTCTTTAGTTCATCCCACGATTGCCCATAGTCTCTAATCTCCTCCTCACATTGTCTCCTCCATATCACCCTCTGACCAGCGTCCCACTCACCGTTTACCATTCAAGTTCCACTTGAGCAACAGCCTGTCGCGCGATGTCACTCAATGATCTCTTCAGCTTGGGTCTGATGCATCTCCATTTTCCTCATCACACTTGTTGAGCAACAGGCTCTTGTTTGGTTCGTTCCTTTGTTTCTTGTTGTTTATTCTTTCTAGCTTGTCATTTAATCTTCAATAGAAAGTCAGCGAAAACAGCTGTTGATAAAAGCCTTCGTCAGGTTGTTGGAAATGCTCTCCGTGACTTAACATTTGTGTTGAAAGTCCAGACCTCTTTCTTTATGCTGATTGGACTGATTTCAGAGTGATGAGGGTCAGTCTTGCCTCTTCGATTCAGATTCTGACACCCTGATACGTGTATGCGTCTGTAGGTGAAACAGTGCTTCTTAGATAAGTGAAGGAAGTGACTGACCTCTCTCAAATTTCTCTCATTGATATTGATTGGTACTAGTATTTACAAACATCATTATTATTGTTTCCTTTAGTTCCTAGAGGAACATAGGGCTTCAGCCAAACGTCTCCTTTGCCTTCGGTTCTCTAGCGATGTTCTCGCATGGCTTCACGTCTGCTCACATGCTTTCATCTCCTCTTCACAAGACCTCCTCCAAGTCACCCTTGCACTGACGAACAACTCGCCGTTTCCTGTTCGGGTTCCACTCGAGCGATGGCTTGTCTAGTGATGTCACTTGATAGTTTCCTCAGAGTATGGCCAGTTAATCCACCTCCATTTCTTCCTGCTTATTTGTTGCACAGTCGGTTCCTGGTTGGTTCACATTCAGAGATCCCTATTGCCCATGTTTTCTGGCCATCCGATCTTGAGTATTGAGAGAAGACAGCTGTTGATGAAACTCTGTAGTTTGTTTGAGGTGCTCTTTATGACTCGCCAAGTTTCTGATCCGTATAATAGCACTGACTTTACGTTGGAGTTGTTTTTCATACTGAGTGCTATTGATCTCCACACAGACTTGAGAGTAATGAAAGCTTTTCTTTCTTTCCCGATCCTCGCTTTGATATCCTCGTCAGTTCCGCCTGTATTTGAAACGATGCTTCCTAGGTAGGTGGGTAGGTAAAGAAGGTTGTTTCTTTCAGGTTCCTCCCATTTATACTGGCTGATTGTTGTCTGTTGTTGTTGTTGCTGTTGGTGTTGGCCAGGAATCTTCATCACCTCTGTTTTCTCTATGTACACTTGAAGTGGTGTCCTATCTTCTCTGGATGCTTCTTCTGCCCGCTTGTTGCTTTTCACTTGCATATCCTCGAGTTGGTGGGAAATCAGACATATATCCAGAAGTCCAGATCCTCCAGGTTTCTGATGTGGGTCCATTCTATGCCTATCTCCTCGTTGCCCGGCTGGCTGTCTGTTGCAATATCCAGTCTATCGCACTCAATCAGGAAAATCATTGGAGATAGTAGGCAACTTTTACAAACATACTAAAAAAAATTATTCAGCCGAACTAGGATGAATCTCATCTTCCTTTTTAAGGTATACTTTGAACTTTCTTTGAACTAAAGGGAACTTATTATGGAATCATTTTGCACATTACACTCTGTGAAGTCAAATGACTGACGGTAAAGTGTTTTCTTTGTGTTTTCCTTAACAATTATATTTTTTCGTTGTATTAAGATTAGTTTTCACTTTTATCGAAGTATCATTCATTTCTTATCACCCTCAAAGAAAAGCATATGTATATCTATTTTTTAAACCTCAGGTTTAGGCTATCACAGAGAACCACAAAGTCGAGCTGCATTTATGGAAGTTTTAACAAAAATTTTACAACAAGGCACAGAATTTGAAACTCTTGCTGAAACTGCTCTAGCTGAAAGATATGAGCGTTTAGTTGGTTTAGTCACTATGGTTGGTGAAAACGGTGAACTGCCGATAGCTATGGCACTTACTCAAGTTGTCTCATGTAATAATATGGTATGTTCATCTTTTTTTTTTAATTCCTACTATTGCATTTAACTTTAGTGCTTAGATTTAACTTCTCTTTAATTTTCTGTGTAAATTTTGTAGTATTCATATGATAATGACGAAAAATAAACTAATTACGATCCATGGAATTTATCAGTCAATTAATGAACAAAGACGCTTGAGCCCTGTGTATATTTTTATTGTACAACATGTTTGAATTCATCATTTGGTATTACTGTTACAAAACGTCAATCGTGAAATTAAATTACTTTATGTATGCCTCGGTGGCACAGCGGTTAGGACGCTCGCCGACCATGCACATGGTCCGGGGTTCGATCCCCGGCCACAGACGCACTCCTTTACCTCGCCTAGCCAGAAACAATGCTGGTAAAGAGGAAAGGTTGGGCATGAGGCTGGCTAGCAACCCCATCCTGTAAAATAAACACTGCTACAGAAACTTCAAGTCACTATCTTGAAGGTGCCCTATGTTCCACTGGGGAACGTGAAGGAAAAATTATTTATTTATTCTGTTAAGCGTGGATTTTCGTTAGATTGGGGGATTACGTCGTTATCGCTTATCTGGAGGAATAGTTCAAAATTACGCGATTGACTGAACATTTCATACATTATTCAATTCTTTTGTAAAAAAAAATTATATTTGTAAAATCTCAGCGAGATGGAAACGATTAATTCCAACTTTTCGTTCAGCAATCTGGTCCGAACTTCTTCAGGGAACTTAACATAATTAACATAACAGAGGTTTATATATAAAAAGGGAGATCTCTTGTTTTAAAAAACTTTCTCCAATCATGAGACATAAAACAAGTATCAACAAGTATAATAAACAAAATTGTATGAGCTGTGGTCAGGTCTACCTTTGTTTAACACTTTAAACAGAGTGTGTATGTGTGTGTATGTATGTGGGTAAACAGTTGTAAAACATTTCTTAACATCTCCATAGGAAGATACAGACAGTCGGGAACTTTGATCAAGTATTATTAATTCGTAATACATATCCATTTTTATTTATTAATCAGGATTTCCTATGCATCAGCCTACATCACACCACACCTTCATGTCTATTCAAACTGTTAGTATCTAGAAGTTTATGATTAGACGTATTTTCAAAATTATGGTGTTTAGGATTAGAGTTTAGTTGAAGCACCCTGTCGAACTTATTGCTTTGTCTTCTTTCTGAAGATTGAGCTGATTTATTCGACCTACTGGAGTTGTCAGGTGACTCAACAGCTACGGATTTAAGATATGCATTATTCTGTTGCAGACAACGGAGAGTGAAAACACGATGATTATCAATTTAATTCGATTTTGATTAATTTCCCTGAAGAAATTCGGACTAGATTACCGAGCGAAACGTTGGAATTACTCATTTCAATCTCCGGCTGAGATTTTACAAATTTAAATTTTTTTTTCTACAAATGTCTACTTCTCACTCGGTGACCAAATATTTTAGAACTATTCTGTCAAATCTTGACGACAGTTCATTTGAATTAGTCAATACTAGTTATACAACATCGGGGCACAGTGGTATTTGATAATAGAATTATTTATTTGGCAAAGTAAGTGGGTGAACAGTTATAGCGAAATACACAAAGCTTTCTTTAGGATCTTCCTTTGATCTCCATTACTAGCAGACTGTTTTGAAGGCTAGCTACAAAAATGTTTGAATAATTTCCACCACTGACAATTTACAACTGTATACAAGGTATTCATTATAATAATAATAATAATCAAAGTAGTATTATTAAACCAGAATTTACAAACTCTCAGTATATATATATATATATATATATATATATATATATATATAACAAAGAGTTAAGGGGTGGGAAAATAGACCACTTAGGTCAAGTTAAAGGGAAATATTGATGACATTTTCATCATTTGCGACAATAGTTATGACCTTAATTAATTTCTACAAGTGTTTAACAACTGCTATTCAGTAGTAAAATCTGCTGTTGAAATGGTAAATGAACCCAAAATTCCCTTTCTTGATGTGGAATTAACAAAGAGACCAGACGTCATCTTGATAAATAAGTTCAGTTCGTAGGAAACCAATGGTTGGATGCCTGTTGATGAACGAGAGCGAAATTTGATTAAATCTCTTGTCACTCCGATTACACGCATCTGTAGTCGTAGTCCTGACGTTTTAGAGGCAGAAGTACATCTTCTGAAAGAAGCCTTCATTGACAAAAATATCTGGCCAAAAGTTCTGGGAGACGAAGCAATACTTTCTCCAAAACAGGAACTTTATTTAAACCTGAATTTAAAGGGAGACTAAATCTGCAATATATCCTTAATGGAATAATTTCATCATTTTTGAAAAGAACATCCTTTGAGCAATGCTAAGAATAGTATTCTCTAGTCGTCCATTGATCTGCGATAGCCTTAAGGTCCAGATCTCTCGTCTGACCACTTGTAAGTGTGTTTGTCAGCTCACTTGTTCTTGTGGAGCCCAGGTATATTGGTCGTTCGACGAGTATCCTGTCTGAAAAGGTCCAAGATCACTAGCATTGCTGTAATTGAACACCTTTTCATTTCTCGTCATTCTATCTCAACAAACGTCTCCTTCAAATTAATCTACAAGGTGGAGAAAAACTTGCCAAAGATAATACGCTGTAACCATTCAGTTAGAAAAACAGGAGCTGCATATAGGAAAGAATATTATTCGACTGCTTCTGCAATCATGATAGCAACCGTTGTTTCCTACTAACTTGACTTTTGTTTGTTATTTCTGACTCTTGTATTTCTTTATAACTCTTTCATATTTTCCTTCGTTTCTGTATTATTATTATTACTGTTCCCTTGGGTTCCTAGTGGAACATAGGGCTTCAACTGCACGTCTCCACTTGCCACTTCTGTCTTCCTTCTGTTGTACTTTTCACCTGAATCCATGTTAGTCCATACTCTTTCAACTCCTCTTCACGCTATCTCTTCCGCATCACCCTTGCACTGACGTCCCACTCGCCGCTTCCCATTCTGTCGGGTTCCATTCGAGCAATGGCCTGACGCGCGTGCGATGTCACTCAGCGGCCTCCTCAGCGAGTGTCTACTGAATGTCCATCTCCACTTTCTCCTGCATGTTTGTTTGACGATCGGTTCTTGTTTTGTTTGTTTGTCCCCATAGTTTCTTGTTGGTGATTCTTCCCGGCCCGGCCATCTGATCTTCAGTATACAGCAAAGACAGATGTTGATAAAGGTCTGCAACAGGCTGTTGGAAATATTATTTGTGACTCGCCCACCAAGTTTCTGATCCGTTCCGCATAGAAGAACTGACTGATTTGACGCTGTTTGTATTGAAAATCCAACTGAATTTTGTTGTTGATGCTGGCTGGCTGAGTGACGAAGATTTCCCGATTGGTTTCAGATCCCTGAATGTATGTGTTTCTCACCTTCCCGATTCTCGCTCGATTTGACATCCTCGTCCATTCTGACATCCTGTAGTTGAGACAATGCTCAATGATAGATAAGTGAGTGAATGAAGTAACCTCTTTCAAATCCCTCGCGTTGATGGTGATTGGGGCTGGATGTTGCTGCTGTTGTTGTTGTTGGTTGGTTGGTTGTTTTCATTACCTCCGTCTTGTCTATGTTCACATGGAGTCCTGTGTTCGCCAGCGGCTTCTTGGACCAGTTTGTCGGTCAGTTATCGCTTGTAAGTCTTCGATTTTGTGTGACATCAAACATAAATCATCCACACGCGAAATCCAGATCTTCTAGGTTCTTCACGTCGGTCAGTCCAGGATATCCGTGTCTTCTCGTTTCCCACTGTCTGACGCATAATCCAGTCAGTCCACCACAATTAGGAATATGATTGGTGATAATAGGCAGGGAGCCTTGTCTGACTCGCGTGATTACTTCAAACGCCTCGCTGAGTTTTCTAGTGGGCTAGTAATCTAGGCGAGGTTCGTTTCTATATGCAACCTGATTATTACTCATTCATTAAATTATTTATCTTTTTACGTAATTATAATACACTTATTCGACTCCTCTTATGCACTGAGTAACATAAACAACTGTAACTATGACAACTGATTATTTCTGTTACTATCCACTTTCATAAAAAAAACATGCAGGTGGAGAGGAAATTGAATTTCCCAAGAAGAGGAGCCTCTTCGCTGAATTACGTTTTTCGTTTTCATAAAAGAAATTTTAAAAGCCAACAAACTGTGTAACCCCAGCATAAATGAGGATTGTAGTATGATCATCTTTCACAGATGATAGAATTTCATCCAATTTTAATAATATTCGAAGACTACAGTTGGTTCCACATAGATTTTGTCATTATCTCAAAGTTAACGGCAGTTTAATAATAATTTTTCCTTCACGTTCCCAGTGGAACATAGGGCTCCAAGCTAATGGCTTGAAGTTTCTGTAGCAGTGTTCAATTTTTTACAGGATGGGGTCGCTAGCCTCATGCCCAACCTTTCCTCTTTACCAGCATTATTTCTGGCTCAGTGAGGTAAAGGAGTGCGCCGGCCGGGGATCGGACCTCGGACCATATGCATGGTCGGCGAGCGTGCTAACCGCTATACCACCGACGCACATAACGGTAGTTTAGTTTTCTTCAATTTTGTACCAATTCGATACAAAAATCCGATATTATGTCATGTAAGAAAGTAGCGAATACAATATTGTCGGACCCCGAGCATCCTCTCTATACGCAGCTGTCTCCTTGCATTTCATCTGATAGAACTAGAAGCAGCTATAGGAAGCTATATGCTAGGACTACCAAATATAAAAACTCCACAATACCATATCTGGCACAGCTGGTTTGTTTGTGATGAGAAATCCGTTAGGTATGACACGATCAACTTACTGCGGCACTCTAACAAATAGTCCCATTAGTTTTTGTTTTCCTTTCCTTGTTACCATTACACTGTTGTTTTCATCCTCTATCACACATCAACATTATATTTCATATCCTGTGGTGCATTGTTTGAAATGTAACCTCTACGCTGTTTTTTTCTTCATATATTTATTTATTTATTCAATTTTTGATTTTAAAATCTTATAAAATTTATGAGGTAATTAGATGCAATATATTGTAATGCACGCTGAAAATTCCATACCTGTACCACAAATACCGTTTGGAATAAAGCTGTTATAATTATTATTATTATTATTATTATTAAAATTAATTTGGTTAGATAGTTGCCTTACGAATAGATAGTTTAATGTCACACTGTTAATAACTTCTGTTGTATTTCTTATTAAAAAAACTGTTTCAAATGTGAAACACTTAGTCCCTTTGATAAATTTGATTAAGGCATTGAGAAGACAAATTTCGCCGCGAGATGATATCGTCATTTCGTAGTTTCTTTACAACCGCTTTACAACTAACATGGTTAACAATAATTAAATAAAATAAGGTTCATGACAATTATCAGTTAAATAGAAACAAAAGTACAAACTAATGACCAGTCATATTTAGATAGGTCTTGTAGTCCATGATAGGCGAAGATTGAAGTCTATTGTGTTGTTTTTGTGCACACAGTTTAGGCTGTATGTGATTAATCCCCCAAAGGTGCTTCTTTCACCTTCAATAACCAACCTTGAATTAGAGTTAAGTGGTGAAATAATTGTGAAACAGTCATTAATGATGATTTTGTGACCTGACATTAATAATAAGTGTTTTGCAATGGATGATGATGGATTTCTATTCAGATCACTAATTGCATTGGGATTTTGTATATGATTTAGTAGCCATTTTGGAACATGTTCTTTTCGACGACCACATTGGAACATTCTGTTGGTTCTACCTATATAGGTGTGTGTCACCGTAGCTGCTGGTGAACTTGTAGATACAGTTAGAAGTAGAGTCCCAAGAATTTGGTTCTTTAATCGTAGTTACCGGGATCGCAAATGTTCGAGATGTAAGGGAAAGAGATTCGACGTAGAATGTGAGCTTGATGGTTGATCGAAGTCTTTCAGCTGTCAACTGCATACATTGATCACCCTTAAATTATAGGTTAATAAAGACAGTTTTCTTTGGTACAGAAGCTGTCTTTTCGAGATGTGGTTTTAAATGTAGAATTGAAGCAAGACATATAAGCAAACAATATTGCTGTTTTCAATTAGATCTTCTTTAGGCTTTACTCTAATCTACATAAGTTTACTTATAAAAAATAATAACCAGTAACAATGAGTTTGCAGAACAAATAATAGTGATGTGTTGAATTTTTTGGACTTCAGTATATATATATATATATATATATATATATGACTCTAACCTCTCTCCCCCTTTATTATACGGTGTAACTTTAGTTGTCACTTGTTCATGTGATATGAGTTGAACTCACCATACTGTTAATCATTTTATTGGTTACTCATCTTCTTAACCACTTCTTGTCGTCATTACTTAGCTCCTCTGTCATTGTACCTCAGACTTAATTTCTTGTTTACATTTGAACCTTTTGTTTACAAGAAATACCAGTATGATTTCTGAGCACTGTTTATTATGTTTTGAGCATCCTGTCAGCAGCTGACATCACGTAATATTTGGAAGTATGTTAAACACGTTCTAGACATAAAATTAATAATTTCTCCAGACTGTAGACAGCTGATGAGAAGCCAACGTAACAAATAAATGATGGTGTCATCTTACTGTGCACAAACTGTTGTTCTTGCCTTACTACAAAGGGAATTGGCTTCATGATTCATGATCATATATGACCAACCCATAATAATTTTGCATGAATATGCAGTTGTAATTAATGTGAATGTAGATTCCGGTTTAATGGTCACTGGACTCTCTTCACTACCTAAAGATCCTAGGTGGGGAGTGGGGGGGGGTCGTTGTCCCAAGCTGCTAAAGAGTCCAAAACTGGGACGAACCAGCTATGCATTATTCTGTGGGTTTTTTTAATGATTATCTAACTGAGATTTCGTTTTGTGAAGTAACCAACATATTCAGATCATTAATACTCTTAAATCATTGTTCATTATGTTTACAGGATGAATTGGCTCGAGTACTCGTCACATTGTTTGATGCTAAACAATTACTTTATCAGTTATTTTTCAATGTATTTTCTAAAGAGGTTAGTGCATTATTCTTTATTCTAAATATATAAGTTTATTTAAATATATTGGTAAGCAAATGTCAGATTAAATAATTCATATTACATATTACTTGACTTTGTAATTGGACACACAACTATTTCCTATCCCTTTACGTCCCGAATGAAACATAGGGCTTTAGGCTAGAGCTTTGAAGTTTCTGTAGCAGTGAATTTATTTGTGCGCGATGGGATTGCTAGCCACACGCCGCCTAGCCTCCTCTTTTTACCGGTTAGGCGATGGGTAGGATTGTGTCGGTGGAGGATTGAATCCCAAGACCTTATACGTGGTTGGCGAGCATTCTACCTCTGCACCACCGACGCAAAATTGGACACAAGTGTTTACATTACTATCTCGCTTTGATTTAAGTTTTAGTTACTGTTAAATCAACCAAGTCAAGCCATGTGTACACCTTGCTAGCTGGCCTGCCATCACGATGCACTATAAATTGTTGTTATTAGATAGTTGGAAGCAATCAGCAGGAAGCCTTGGAAGACCTAGGTTTCGTGATTGTTAGCACTTATCATCAGTAGAGCGTGTCTGCAACCTTGAAGGAAATCACGTCCCCCCCCTAACTGATAGAATTCAATTTGCGCCAACGCTAAGGACTAAACACATGATACTACCCAGTCTTACAGAAGGTCAATCGCGACCACGAGGAGCTCAGTGGTAACTTTTCTTACCACAGCGCTAAGTGGCATGGGTTCGAATCTCACAGGAGACTTGAGTTCCTTCAAGATTGCAGATACGCCCAGCTGACTGATGAATTCTAACAAGAACTAAGCATAGATTCAAGGCTTTCTGGTGATTACCTTCAACCTTTTCCAACTCATCAATTGAGTTGCCATTAGTGAAGATGAAATGAAGTAAAGATATTCTTTGCTGCAGCACTGAGGATGTCATAAGATATATAATCTATGTGACTAAAAGATACTTCTGTGTATGTTACACGTACACCTTTGCTTACTGTTCAATCAGTATTATATATTCATTTTAATGCAGAAATGTATTATGTCGAGGTTACTCGGATAGCTCAAAAGAAAGATCGAAAATTTGATTCTTTCAACATATTTATTTGATTATAAACTCATATCAACTGTAGTTAATGTCTGTCTAGTTACAGACGGTGTTCAGACTAAAATGGAATACACAAATATGAATATTATTGCTAAATATATATCATGTCTCTAAATGATTAATTTCGCCAAGTGAATCGTCTTCTCTTTTTTGAAGTTGTATGGATATACATAAGCGATAGGTTTTCATTTTAAAATCTATCTTCTGAGTATATATATATATATATATATATATATATATATATATATATGCAAACTCAAAGTCAAGGAAGACTAGACATGTGTTTCGTCCTGAATTAGGACTCCTTAACTGCGTACATCAGGTTCTTAAATCTAGGATCTTCAAGTGATGAGCCAAGATCGTTGCCGTCCGGTCACTGGTTCAGAATCGACCTCCCCCCTCCAGAATGAAGTTCCCCATAATAGAGATATGAGGTGGGTGTCAATAGACAGTGTAAAAAATCGTCATCAAATAGGTTATCTTCTTATTGTGGAATTCTGAATACGCAGATATTTTCAGAGATATCATGAACATAGAAAAAATCCCCATTTAGACATTTAGAAAACAATAATTATTCTTAACAAACTCATGGCCACTTGCCTGCCAAACTGTTGTATTGTAATTAAAATGCTATACGTGTATTAAAGTAGAGCCAGAGATGAGGATCTAATTCAAAAGTAAATATTTCTTCGCTCAATCTTTCTGGTTGCTAAATATCAGGAACAGTATATATTCATGGGTTATGTAAACTTCCTGCAGTATTTATGATATTTGTTATATCTGGTCAACCGTACCTATGTAGTAGGTGAGTAGTTTAACCAGATTAGGCCAGTGTTAGCTGTTTCCCAAACTATCCAGCCTACTGTCATGCTCATCAACACCACAAGCTAATCTTGTAAGTGATAAATATAAGCAAGAATCACGTAAATATGTTTTTGGACAATAATGAGTATGGATACACCTGTTTGTATCGTTGTTTGTGCGTCGGTGGCACAGTGGTTAGGACTCTCGCCCACCATGCACATGTTCCGGGGTTCGAGACCGCACCGACACACACCTGATATCTGTGGTCGGCCTGCAAAATTTGGGCTACCGATATCCATGCTGAAAATTCCATACTTGTACCGAAAATACAGTGTGGAATCAAGCTGTAAATCAAAAATTAAAAAAAAATCAAAAAAAAAATTGTATTATGAAATCACATTTTTTCTAAAATGCTTCTTCATGTTTGTTTGTGCGTCGGTGACACAGCGGTAGGATGCTCCCCAACCACGCCTCATGTGGTCCGAGGTTCGATCCCCGGCCACAGACACACTCCTTTACCTCGCTAAGCCAGTAATAAAACTGTTAAAGAGGGAAGGTTGGACATGAGACTAGCAACCCCATCCCGTAAAAATAAACACCACTGCTACCGAAACTTCAGAGCTCTGTAGCTTGAAGCCCTATGTTCCACTGAGAATGCAAAGGAATTAAAAAAGAAATGTTTTGTTTAGCAAAAAATCAGAAATTATTCATCGTTTCTATTCATTCATTTTATGCATAATAATTTAGCTTGAATCAACTGATAGTATGCAGACACTGTTACGCGGGAATACAATGACAAGTAAAATTATGAATTATTGTTTCAAACAATTCGGTCGAGACTATTTACAATCAGTGCTGGGTCCTGTACTTATGGAGTTGGTTAGACGAGATGCTGGAAATTCAAGTGGTGGTTATATGCCGCCTGCTCCACTGTCACCAATGTCAGTAACGACAACAACAACAACAACAACAACAACAGCAACTACAGCAGCAGCAACAACAACGACAACGGCGCACAATATTACTAACAACACTGTTAGTAGTACTAATGTGTCAAGTTATAACTGTAAACAACAAGAAGCGAAGAAGTTGATAAACGATAATAATGACTTATTGGATGATATAACAAAATATCCTCATACAACACTGAATTTATCCTATGAAGTAGATCCTAGACGTTTACAACCGAATGAAAATTTAGAAGATAACCAAAATAACTTGATCTTTGCAACTGAATTACTCTATAATAAACTTATTAAATCTGTAGATAGGTAAGCGCAACATTTAATGATGACATATGATGAAAAGATTTTTTAAAAATCTTGTCTTATTCCTCATCTATGAGCGTTTTAGGCACTTTATGGATTGATCCCTTGGATGAATTGTTCTCCTAGCTAGTTAGTATTGTTTCACTCGCAGTTTTGTATGACATTCTACGCAGTAACTTCCCACTATCCTCATTTCTATTCAGTTTCATCATAGATGTACTAATGGATTTAACCCTAACTCACTTCAGAGACTCAAGGATTGACTTGTTACCACTAGGGAATAATAGTCTCGTTGACTTAGAATATGCAGATGATATAGTCCTACTAGGTGAGGACGCTGACAAAATGCAGACAGGGTCTTCCGAACACCTTGAGCTGCAATCTACAAATGTTTGGCATGCGATTCCTTCCCTCTGCCAAATATAAGATGATGTTACAGGACTGGACTGGACTACACTGACTCCTAGTTTAGAAATAGGGAGTGAAGTGGTAGAGCACGTTGACCGCTTCACCTATTTGGGAAGTACCATCAGCCAGTGCCAACGGGTTGATCTCTGACGAAATCTTAGCACGGATACAGTTTACGCCATCTCTGGCTTAGTAGACGTGATATCCGGCTGGCTATCGACCAAATGGGGGGGGTGTACTGCTCATCTGTCCGCTCCGTTCTCCTTTATGGCCGGCTGCGAGACCAGGCCATTGAGAGTGGAAGACATGAAAAGATTAGCTGTCTTTGAGCATAGGTTCCTGCGTTCTATCTCCCGTGTGAAGTGGTATAATAAGGTGAGCAATAGTGAGGTTATTCATCGGCCGAGTGCTAGGTAGGTGGGAGGGGAAATCAATCGACGAGGCTGTGAAGCATTTATATCGACTGACATGGTTAGGACATGTGTTACATATGTGTCCCTAGTCATTACCTTCCTCGACCGTCGGGCAATGTTAGCTGACATAGGGTCAGACTGGAAAACAGCTGGCGTCGATCAAACCAAAACATGGCTTCATCAGTCAATGAAATCCACAACAGTTAGTATAAGCCGGTCACGTAGGAAGATGTAAACGTCTTCACCAGTTGGAGTCACAGGGACGGTAAAAACCAATGAAGGCTAGAGACAATCGGTGACATGGCTCAAAATCGTTCTCAATGGCTGGCTGGTACAGATGCATCCAATCCTTGTGACTTATGATTTCCAATGAAACTATATTTTTCTTCGTTATTACTTTTCCTTTGTCTCACACCTCTGTTTATTGTCTTTAATATTCATTTCTTCAACTTTCTTCTCTTGATTTGTGTGCTACATGGACTGTGGCGACTTGAACTGGTGTACATTGGTGCAAAGCTCTATGTCGAAAACAGACAGATAGACAGATAGGGGAATGCAGGTACCATTCACTAGCTGATGAGTAGTCACAAATAGGATGATATGCGCGTTTTCCTGGATACCAATAGTGCTAGTCACCATCCACTAAATTACTTGAGGTTAGACCGCGAGACGTTTTCGAAACAGCCTCCCAAGGAGCCAACATCTGAACATAGGCCTAGCACTTCGGTCCAATCAATCAACAGGAAAGTCCAAATTGCATTAAATGGTTCAGAGTGTTGTTAGAAGTTCTGTTTATTTATGTGAAGCTTATTAAATAATGTACATACTATCTAGTAGTTTACACATCATGTCTTACAAATAAATTTTTCTAAACCATGACGAAGATCCTATTTCTAATTTCTGTGTACTCCGCGTATTTGGCAACGACTGTTGCGTAATACATTCGCCGTCAACAAGAGATTACAATATCAGGAAATGAAAAAAGTTTGTTTAAAGACCTGCATTATATCTTTACATTTTTCGTAAATAGATAACGATGTTCACATGAATAAACTGAACAAGCGTAAATTGAGACTTTCACTACAATTCTTGTGATTCATAAATCTCCAAAGACCTATGTTAGATGACTGGAAGCAATCATTGGGAAACCCTGGACCTAGGTTTCGTGCTTGTTGACACTCACTAGCCAACAAGCCTTATCTGCAACCTTGAAAAAATTTATCTCCCTGAGATTCGATCCGGCGTGACCCAGTGCTGCAGGCAAAGGTGTTACCACTGAAATATTCGGGATCGTGATTGATCTCCTGTATGACTCTAATGGATACTTTGAATTTTCACTAGGCGGTAAGCAATGTCATGTATCTAGTGCGCTCAGGTTACTGCTGAATGAATTCCATCAGTAATGTAATGTGATGTAGACCAATGAAGAAATTACAATTAGTCGTTTGAAGAGGGAACATTTCTGGGCGAAACCGTGTGAACTGGGGAAATAATTGACATATTGTGCACTAATCAGACACTTATGCTCAGAGTTATGCAACAGCGACAACGTGCTAGGATTGTAGTAGAAATTTTGTAATAACAGGATAACCGGAATTCACCAAGAGAGACAGACAGACAGACAGTTAGATAATGTTCAAAGCCCACAATATAATTAGTCTACAGATTTCGCAAAGAAACTGAAACACACGGTGTCAAGGAACTTAACCCTAAGTTCTTATTATTTTGCCAAGACGCACCGAATCGATAATTACTAGGAACGATTATCGACTTTAACTCCAAAACACAAGGACTAATAAGAAATTATATCCTTCGGCAGTTAAATTCAATATCACTACAAAGTCTGTATAAAAATGTTGTACAAGGAAGGTATTGTACTTTTATTCGTATTCTCTCGTCTTCTTCGAACTTGTATACGATCGAATCACTCGCGCTTTTGAGTTTCCCGCCAATGACTACCAGTTCCCATAAACAAACGTTCAATGTTCACGTTCATTTATTTGCACACGGTATTAATGAAATTAAAATTATTGATTGTCACGCTGATAGGAATAACCAATATAATGAACAACTTACTAAATAACTTTAAAAATAAGTCATATCGTTACCCTATCGACATGAATAACGTTTCGTTACCACTTTCATCCTGACCTCGTACTTCAGTACTGTTTGAATAACGAGCTTATTAGTTGGAACGTTTTTCTGTAACATATAAAAAACTGTTATCCTGTCCGAATTGTTGTTTTCTACTTTCTATATCAGTTGATGCCGTTATGCAGGAAGACTGACTGACTAAGGTCAATCGAAAGGGCGTTCGTTTTGATCGCTGTTGTTTAAAGAAGTGCATTTAGTTGCAGTGTGTCTGTCTGGATTCAACATAGAACTTGGCACCTAAGTGCACCAGTTCGAGTTGCCACATTCCAAATACCACACAAAGGTAGACAAGAAGATGAGTGAAGAGAATCAACAGAGTTTGACAAGTATAAGAGTGAAACAGAATGGGTAATGGTAAAAAGGAATATGAAAGATTACAGAGAATACAGAATACATCTGCGCTGGCCATTGACAACGATTTTGAGCCATGTCATCTATTGTCTCCAGCCATTGATTCTTAGAGTCAGTCCCGAGGGCCCCAACCCGAAAGTTTGCATCTCCCTACCTGACGACTCAGTTTAACTGTCAAGGATTTCATGGATTGATGAGGCCATGTTTTTGTTTGGCCACCACTTACTCTTTTCCAACTGTACCTGCAGTGAGTAGGATGATGTTTCATAGTTTACTGTAATTGGATTTCTTAATCACTTTTTACAAGATACGGTGATCAGTAAGGCTTAGTCATGAAGTAATATACTGCCAAGTATTCTAGTTTCGACTCGATCTTCATAGTTCGCATTTTTTTGTTCAGCAGAGAAAAACAGGAATACTGGCGTTAGAATTTTGCAAATACTGTCAGACAGGTGACCATGCGAACTAATTAGCCACTGATCTAAGAATATTTGTCTACATATGGATGATTGATGACTTCGGTAGTGTTTAGTTTAAACTATGCATTTCTAATGAATGCCGAACCACTGAAGTAAACTCATCTTAACTTTCACGCTAGGAATTTTATCATTATATACATACATACATACATGAGAAAACATTATTTCTCACCTCCATTTTTTTTTATTAATTAGCTTTCCATCAAGGCTGCGTTGTATGTGCCGATGTTTATACAAACTTCTTGGTCATTTAGCCTATGGGAATCAATCAAATGAACAAGCGTTGAATGTCCTGTCAACGATTGTATTTTTACGCTTTATCAATCCAGCTGTTGTATCACCGTATGAAAGTGGTTTACTCGACTTTGAACCACCGAGTCGGGTAAAACGTGGTCTTATTCTTATTGGAAAAATGATGCAAAATATTGCAAATCAATTATTGTTTACTAAAGAACCACATATGCGTGTATTCGACTCATTTTTACAAAAGCATTTCGAGTCGTGTATGCAGTTTTTCAAGGTAGGTATTATTTTTATGTACTTGTTTGTTTGTGTATGCCCATGTGTGTTGTTTTCGGATCAAAATAAATTCACTTCAGGAAATAATGATCATTCACTCATATCATCTTATGTGTTAGACATTGTATTGCTCTAACTAGTCGGAATACCAAAAATCGAAGACTTACAAGCGAAAACCGACCGACAAACTGGTCGAAGAAGCAGCCGGTGAAGACAGGACTCCAGGTGAACATAGACAAGACGGAGGTTATGAAAATAACCAACCAACAACAACCAAAACAACGACAGCAACATCCAGCGCTAATCACCATCAACGGGAGGAATTTGAAAGAGGCTACTTCCTTTATTCACTTATCTAGCATTGAGCATTGTCTCAACCACAGGATGTCGGAACGGACGCGCGTCAGGCCATTGCTCGAGTGGAACTCGACAGAATGGGAAGCGGCGAGTGGGACGTCAGTGCAAGGGTGACATGGAGGAGATTTTTGTGAAGAGGAGGAGTTGAAAGAGTATGGACTTAGATGGATGCGGGTGAAAAGTACAGCAGAAGGAAGACAGAAGTGGCAAGTGGAGACGTGGAGTTGAAGCCCTATGTTCCACTAGGAATCCAAGGGAACAATAAAAAATAATCATAATAATTGGAATACAAATATACAGCCGCTTTAAACTTTTGTACACATAAGGGTCTATGAAGCTGATAGTCGACTCACCCAGTAGCTGATACAGGCTACTTTAATACATACATGAATCAGTTAAGAATCGAACCGAGGATGAACTAAGCCTGTTGAACATTAAAACAATGAGAGTTGAAATTCAGCGACCGATAAACTTTAACTTCGAATAATCAGAGATAAAGTTCTCACGTCAAGCAATACCATCAAATCCGACAAGGTAGACCTTTAAAGGCGACTTATTCGGAGTTAAGACTATCCATCTTGAAGCCAGCAATGATAAGGACACCAATATGCAAATGTAGGGTTTTTTCAGAGGCATTCGTTTGAATAGCCCACTAAAACCTGGCGCATAAATGAAAATTAGAAAACATCGGGCAGTTTAGTTTTGGTTAGAGACATTCCAGCACCAAGGATCTAACCCGGAATGAGGTTGGGCACTTTAATATTCAGCCACTGAGTATAAAAATAATAGCCATTTTAAGCTCTCCTGGTCAGATCTCCACAAACTCAACACCTGAAAACCAATCCATTACTTACTAATCATTGATTGGCCATCACATGGACTTCCTGGAGTTCCATTGGGAAGTCGTATTCGGGAGTAAGGAAACATACTTGCCAGTCACCTGCAGAATTAGATTTGTAGCACTAAATGTGTTCATTTTATTTTTATTTGTCTATAAAATCGCCAATAGCCTAAGGTAAATATTAACTTAATAAGAGTAAGGGTAGAAATTCTTATCATTAAACAACACCATGAGTATGCAAATCACAGTTTAGCAGAAAGCAAAATACAATTAACTGATATAAATACTACAAGAGAGAAGGTTAAAGTTGCTTGTTTCTCTCTTCACTTGAAAGTACTGTTGATACATACTACTTATAAGTAATAGAATGGCAGAAGATCAAGAAGCCCTAGGATATAATATACGACGTTTTCAGTCATCCACACATATGAGGAAATGAGTGACCTTCGATGAAAACTTTCCAATGTGTAATTATTTATTGATAAGAGTTCATCATTCTATGTATTTTCTGAAGTTAATAATCGTTACTAGCGTTGTTTATAGATGTTGGAGCCGTTAAATTTGTAAAATTGAGTGTATTTATTACTTATTTATTTATTTATGCTATCCCTTTGCGTTCCAAGTGAAACGTAGTGCTTCAAGCCTGAGCTTTGAAGTTTCAGTAGCAGTGGTGTTTATTTTTACGGGACGGAGTTGCTGGCCTCATATTCAAAGCCACCTCTTTGTTAGGCTTATAACTGTCTAGAGGGAGGTAAAGTTATGCCCATGCTGGGGATCGAATCCCAGGCCACGTTTGTAGTTGGTGACCATCCTACTTTTGTACTACCGACGCATAAATTGAGTATAACTGCACTTTTATTAATCCTATAGTTAAATATTGTGCATCGGTGGCACAGCGGGAGAATACTCACCAACCGCTCGTATGGTCTAGGGTTCGATCCCCTGTCAATGCACTTCCAAACCTCTTTAAATCTGTAATAAGACCGGTAAAAAAAAGGAAGGTTGAACGTGAGGCTAGCAACCGCATCCTTTAAAAATAAACATCACTGCTACCGAAGCTTCTAATCTCCAACTGGAAGTCATATGTTCCACTGGGGGCATAAAGGAATAAAATAATAATAAATAATCGTTGGATATATGAAACTGTATTTTAAAAACTACCTTAAAAGTGTATTTAATGTTTACAAATTGACTTACTGATATACATTTTCAAGTAGTAATATTGTTTCAAGCTTGATTTTGTTAACTACTGACAACAGCATTGTAAGCTGTCACAGACTGAGTAGCACTTGATGATAATTTCGTTGTGGTTTAAGGCTCTTTAGTTGCATACGCTGGCATGCCAGTGTAGGGTCGAGTGAACATTTTACTACCCTAATGTTCCATGACTTTCAACTTCCACCACTCTGAATTACTACGCTATTACTGTCCAGCAATTGAGATTCCCTCCATTGTTGGCCAACACTAAAGTGACTTTGCGGAAGCCCTTATGAGAATTTCGAACTAGCAGAATCCACCAAGTTAGATAATGATGATACGTAGCGATTGATGTCGTAAAATGACAAACTGGAGCTCTAACTGTTCTTGAGAAATAAAGGCCCTCAAAAACCTGAAAAACAGAAAGGACATCGTCATTTTACCAGCTGACAAAGGAAGAACAACAGTAGTCATGGACAGAAAAGAATACACCAAGAAAGCTGAAGAACTACACAAAGACGAGGATGTATATCAACAACTCCCTACAAAATCTTAAACAAGCTCACCAAAACTGGCCAGATCACAAAACAAGACCAACGGTGAATGAAATCCAATGAACCAGTTCTACCTCGATTTTACGGCAGACCCAAAATACACAAGCTAAATATCCCAGTATCCCAATTGTATCACTCCCAGGAACTCCAACATATAAATTATCCAAAGAATTATACAGAAAACTAAAACACCTAACGGAATCTTGTGATCACCCCATCAACTCTGCTATGAGACTTCTAGATAAAATCAGAGGCATTCAAATATATGACCCGGAAATAATTATATCCTTCGACGTCACCTCAATCGGACAAAAACTAACAAAAGAGACCATGGAGCAGTTACTCACCAACGACGAACATCCCCTCGCACAACAATCAAAAATGCAACACACAAGCTGGATGGAATGCATAAACCTATGCCTAACAACATACTTCCAATTCAACGGCCAAATATATGAACAAGTTAAAGGAACACCCATGGGATCGCCAATATCAGGTTTGATTGCAGAAGAAGTGATGCAAAGACTCGAAAACATAATTCTACCAAAGATCAAACCCAAGATTTGGATACGCTACGTCGACGACACATTTGTAATAGTCAAAAGAAACGAGCTAGATAAAACTCACAACCTAATAAACAACGTCTTCAATGACATCGAATTCTCAAGAGAAGAGGAATCCGAGAACAAAATACCATTTTTGGGCGCCTTAGTCAAGCGAACAACCACAGGGGAATTAGAAACTCAAGTTTATAGGAAATCAACTCACACAGACCAAATACTGAATTGCAACAGCAACAACGCAATAACACACAAGAGGAATTGCATACAAACACTATTCGAGAGAGCAAGGACTCACTGCAGGACTCCCACCTTAAGGAAAATTGAAGAAAAGTATCTCATGGACGTCTTCCAAAAGAATGAATATACACGGAATTTCATCAAGAGACATATACCCTCAAGCCAACCTATCAAACCAAAAGCCCCCAAGGAAAGCACAAAGAAAATCGCCTTACCATATATAAAGGATATCTCATAAATCACTACAAGACTCTTCAAAACTTTAGGAATTGACGTCGTACACAAACCAACAAAGCCACTTCACTCAGTTCTATGTCAACCAAAAGATTCAACAGCGAAAGAAGATAAAACCAAAAAAAATTGTAACAACTGCGAAAAACACTACATTGGCCAAAGTGGACTTCCCCTTCGTCTTCGTATCCACGAAAATAAGCTAACCGTGAAAAGGCATGATATCCACTCCCACATATCACTACACACAGACAACCACGGACATCAATTCGACTGGGACAACGTTCAAATATTAGACAAAGGAAATAACAAGAATGCTAGAGAATTTTTAGAAGCTGCCTGGTATTCCAGTGAATCATCAATCAATAGACACATAGAGATAGACAAAATTTATCAACCAGTAAGAAAGAAACTGCACACACAAAGGGTCAAAGTTCAAGTCAAAGAAACAATCAGCTCCAATACCACAAGTAACCTAGAAGGTGTGAAAACACACACAAACAACCAATCATGTCCAAGGTCACCAGGAGAGATGATTAATAAACTCGTGTAGAAATCTAGAAGCTCACTTCAATTTGAATTGAAGTATTCGCTGAAGATGTTGTCTAGTAGGGCGATGAAAGCCTAGCATAATAACTATCCATCTGGCTCAAAGAACACAACCACATCATAATCATCCACCTGAGCTACAAATCTTCTCCATCATATCTAACTTCAACTGTTCAAACCACACTGGGTAGTAACGTTCTGGACTCTTAGAAGACTGATGATAGTTTATTCGATCCCTTGTCGGTTTACATGTGTGCTCTTCTGAGTAAAGTGTCAAAGAATAAGGAGTGACTATCAAATGCCTCTTACTTCTCAATGGTTCTTTAGATCATGTAGGTTACTGATGAAAATTCTATCAATTAAACTAATCGTTTAGAAAACAGAAAGATTGAGTGAGCGAGGAAATATTTACTTTTCAATTAGATCCTCATCTCACTCTGGCTCTACTGTAATATATTATGTATAGCACTTTTTATTACAATACACAACAATTTACCAATCATCAGGTGGCACTGATATGTTTGTTAACAATAATTAGTCAGTGTCAATATATCAAGGCGCTGGTGATTATTAACGAAGACAATTAACATACACAATTAAAAGGTAGAAATGGTTAGAATAAATTAATTCAATTTTACAAGGATAACACGTAATTAAAGATGAAGTGGTCAGAAAAAAATAAATAAAATAGTTTGGACAATTATAGTTTTTATAGTTTTTAAAGGTTTAGGGGGAAGGGGGCGAAGTAGTCCGGTTTATACATTCATGTAACGATGATGGCCAAGGTAAGGAAAGTGGTTGTACAAATTTCTTCTGAACACACACTGGTTTGGCTTCTTCCACAGATGGATTCCTATTGCTTCAGCTGTTGTATGTAGAAGACGAACTCGTAGAGCAAAATTAAAATTAGTAAGAATGCGATAAATAATTTTAAATGCTGCATTAACTAACGTCAACCTTATGCTCACTAGGTGTCTACAAGGTGTGGTAAAACAGAGCTAGCTACGAATAGATCTTGTTTGTCCTTTGGTGCTTAACTATGTGCTGAATGATGTTCGGAAATACGATGATGAACCTGCCTAATTGTACGCCGAATGTAGCTGGCTCCGTAGCTTTTGAATTTACTCAAATAGACTTGTTTTATTATAAAAGCAGCGTTTCAGAGGAAAAGAAAGCTATTGTAAAAAGTTTCAAATGACTTTTTTTATTTTCAGGCAATTGTTGAAGAGTCAACAAAAACTGACAAATCAATAAATCCGTCTACATTCAACGGCCTATTAGATCCTCTAATAAATAACACTGGTCAGTTAGTTGTCTCATCTTCGTGGTTATCCGGCGCATATCCAAATTCTGTTGCTGCAAATCCCTTGGAAGCTATTGTACCGCTGACGACAAGTGATAATATGTCCTCAATATCAGGTGGTTGTACGAATACAGGTGGGGGAGGCGGTGGTGGTGGAGGTGGCGGTGGCGGCGGAGGAAGTTGTATGATGTCTTTCATCTCTGACGACCTCATGTACGCTTTGCATCGTTTGCTGTTCACCAATCAAAGTAAAATTGGAGACTATCTGGCTAGTAATCGGTTAGTCTTGTGGGTTGTTTGTTCTTCACATATATTTCTACTCAATAAAGAAATATATTTTTCTTTCGTTTGGTTTGTAAGAGTATTTATTTAATATTATTATTATATCCTTTAATTCCTGGAGGAACATAGGGCTTCAGCTGAGCATCTCCATTGCCTTCGGTTCTCTGCCAACTTTTTCACCCCGCTCAAAGTCTGCCCACATGCGTTCATCTCCTCTTGACATGACCTGCTCCAAGTCACCCCACTCACACACTGACGACCAACTCGCCTCTTCCCTTTCGGGTTCCACTCGAGCCATGGCTTGTCTAGTGATGTCACTTGATGGTTTCCTCAGAGTATGGCCAGTAAATCCATCTCCATTTCTTCCTGCCTATTTGTTTCACAATCGGTTCCTGCTGGGTTGGTTCGCTCATTGCCAGAGATCCCTGTTGCTGATCTTTTCTGGCCATCTGATCTTGAGCGAAGCATTGAGCGGAGACAACTGTTAATGAAGGTCTGTAGTTTGTTCGAGATGCTCCTTATGACGCGCCAATCTCTGATCCGTACAGTGAGTAGCACTGGCTGACTTCACATTGGAGTTGAAAATCCGCATCTCATTTTTGATGCTGAGTGCTGTTGACCTCCACACAGACTTGAGAGTAATGAAAGCTTATCTTGCTTTCCCGATCATCACTGCTTAGTTCCTGGCGTCTGTAGTTGAGACGATGCTTCCCAGGTAGGTAAAGGAAGTTGTTTCTTTCAGGTTCCTCCCATTTATGCTGGCTGATTGTTGTCTGATGTTGTTGTTGCTGTTGGTGTTGGCCAGGAATCTTCATCACTTCTGTCTTCTTTATGTTCACCTGAAGTCCTATCTTCTTTGGATGCATCTTCTGCCAACTTGTCGCTTTTCACTTGCATATCTTCCAGTTTGTGGGAAATCAGACATATATCATAGGCGAAGTCCAGATCCTCCAAGTTCTTGTTTTGTGTGGGTCCATTTTATGCCTGTTTCCTCATTGCCCGCTGTTTGTCGCGTTATCCAATCTACCGTAATCAGGAAAATCATTGGCGATAGTAGGCAGCCAGCCAGCTTGTCTTACTGCCGTCTTCACTTCGAAGGCTTCCGTGAGTTTCCCGTTGTGGATTACTTGGCACGCAGCACTGTCGTATAACTGTTGGATGAGATGTATAATTGTCGATGGCACCCTGTAGTAGCGAAGTAGTTTCCAAATGACCTCTCGATCGACGCTGTCGAAGGCCGTTGTAAGAGTTAGTTATGTTTTTTCCGAGTTGATCACAGATTGATATCAGTTAGAAAACCATTGAAAACCATCACTAGAGAACTGGACAGCTGCTGTTTCATCCTAGTTTGGGAATCATCGGCCGACTTTCTACAGGGTGGAGTTTCCTAGTGTCAGTTCTAGTGAGAAGTCATGACCACTGAGGTTCAATTAGATGTCACGTATGTGTGGATGGATGTCCCACCAACGATGACATTGGTTGGGGTCGCGCTAAATCACGAATTGGTAGAAGTTAGAATTCATGCACTGATCATTGAATCGGGTCCCAGTGACTGAATATTATACATGTTTGTCTGCTTGTAACAGGAAGGTCCTGGGTTCGAACCGTGGCAGTGGGTGCGTAATGCCGATGATTTTCGAACTAGGATGAAACAGCAGCTGTCCATTACTCCCTGGTTTTCACTGGTTCTCTAACTGATACCAATCCGTGATCAACTCGGAAAAAAGATATATGTACAAAAACTGAATATATAATAATTTTTTTGAAATAACAGAGAATATGTGTAGCTCAAGTGGATGATTTGCAATTAGTTTTGTTCTCTGAGCAGCTGGATGATTTAATTGTGAAGCTTTCGTCGTCCTCCTGGACAACATCTTCAACGTAAGTTTTAGCATAAAATGAACTGAATCAAATTCTCCATGAAAAATAGAATTGTGTCTCCTGGATATCATCTTCGTGACTGCTAGTCAATTTAAATCTGTATTGGTATTTTTTTATTGACTTGGATTTTGAACTTTTTCATCATATGATTGTGATAATGTAGGAATTTTAAACAGAGTAAACACCAAAAGTGCAGTCAGGGAATTCCTAGAAGCCTGGTACTCAAGCGAATCAGCCAGCGACTAACAAACACGTTATTATAGACCAAATTTACCAACTCGTAAAATGTAAATCACATGACAAGAAACTTCGAACTCCAAGTCGTTAAAACATGATCAATAAAGATATAAATCAACTACCAGTCACGAGGATGGTTGCCAGGATATACAATGATTCATAGAGAATTTAAGTCAGTTCATTTTATGTTCAAACGTGTGCTGAAGATGTTGTCTAGAAGGACGACGAAAGCTTCGCAATTAAACAAACCGGCCGTCCATAGAACACAACTAATTGTAAATAATAAGTGTTTGTAAGCATTTGTAGCCATTCATCCATCCAGTAGTAAATATTAACTCCTTACAATAATTTTACAATTGAATTACCGTCAGAAATAAGTCAGTAAGACTACTACTACTACCACTACAACCTGTCACCAATAATGATGTGTTAGTAACTAATTCCTTAAGCGGCAGTTCATTCTTGTAAGTCGTTCCACTATGTTTATCAGTGGAGGTTTTCTTTATTACTAATTTTCAAATGGTGGCGAACCCAAATAAATTTCTCAGAACCAGTGTGTGTCGAGGTTGATAGGTGATTGAGATGAAGCATGCGTTCCCCCTCCCCCCCCGCCTAATCAAACACACACACAGGCTGTCATTACTTAATTCAGCTGAGATTTTCCTGCTGATTGATTGGACTGAAGTGTTCGTCCTCTGTTGACCTGTGCGGATGCGTTTATGATACCTGAGGACTTGAAGTAGTTTGGTGGATAATGGCCAGCAGTCGGATCACTCAACATGAAAATCCAAATTGCACAAGAGATGGTGACTCCCGTGGCACAAATGGTCTAGGGGATAACGCCTTGACGTTTGCAACAGTGAGCACTGGGTTCTAGTCTCAAAGGGAACACCATCGATGACTGGAGGATGCAGGTAAATCCATTTGACGAGTTCAAAAGAGGACAAAATGTGCAGCATGGATTCCACTAGTGCTAGTCACTATCTACCAAATTAATAAACACTGTCAGTTTTCATCATAGAATGAATAATTTTGTTTGATAAAAATGCACTCTGATCCGCTGTCATTCCCTGGTGACGTTTTGAGCATTATTTATTTGTCTCACAACCTTCAAACTTTGTTGATATAATTCTATTATTTCGATTCCTTTGGTTATATCGATAGTGGCATTTTTCATATCTCTGGTACTGGTGCTGTGTTATATGATAAACAAAGAATCAGCGATCAGCGACTCCCTCTGCCTACTTGTAATGCTCTTTAAAATTGTAACTCCGCTCCCCTCCCCTTTAACGTTTGATTGTGTGTCATTGGATGCATTGTAATTGCTATAAGTAGAAGAACTGAACGCACGAAAATGAATGGTGTAGAGAAAAACTCAGTTAATACAATGCATGCATTAACACACAATCACACAACAGGGTGAGAGAATTACAGTTTTAAAGCGTAATATAGACAGGATCGTCACAATCTTTGTTCATCCGATCTATAGTAGCACCAATATCAGAAATATGGGAAATATTACTATCAATCAAATCAAGGGATAAGAAATAATGTAATTATTTAAACGAAATTGAATGCTTTGATATGATTATGAGCAGAATACGTTGTGCTAGAAACGTTGTCATCAATAAGCAATACTGTATCACTGTGATGGAATAATACTCTACCATAGTACTCAAATTCTATTCTTACATCACTCTCACTTATAGTTTGCATGTTAGTGATTGACTACCAGTCTTTATATTCAACCAGTTTATTGATTCCACATAGATTCCGTTAGTCTTTGATTGGACACTAGTGTTATGCGTCTAGTCCTCTCTTTGGTGCAGACTGAATTTTTGTCAGTCGGTTTTGTAATGTGGCCACCATTCTGAATAGCTCGCTATCACGGTGAACATTGATTTGATGATATTAGATAGTTGGAGGCAATCAGCCACAGGAAGCCTTGCTTGACCTGGATTTCGTGCTAGTTGGCACTCACTGGTCAGCAAGGCGTATCTGCAGCCCTGGAGGAACTCATGTCCCTTCTGAGATTCGAACCCGCGTCACCCACTGCTGCCCTGCGGTCAGAGACGTTACGACTGAGTTATTTGGGTTCGTTATTGACCTCCTGTAGTGGACGCATAACACTAGTTACTAGTGCCCAATCAAAGTATCCATTACAGTCCTACAGAAGGTCAATCGCGAGCCCGAATAGCTTGGTGGTAACGTCTCTGATTGCAGCATTGGGTGACGCGGATTCGAATCTCAGAGGGGATATGAGTTCCTTCGAAGCTGCAGATACGCCTTGCTGACTGACTAGTGAGTGCCGACTATCACGAAAGCTAGGTCGAGCAAGGCTTCCTGTAGCCGATTACCTTCAAACATCTAATATCATCCATTCCGTTGGTCTGTTTTAAATAGCCTTTTGTCCTTTCTATTCAAAACATGCGACGTATTAATTCTTCACCCACTTTTCTAAATTGTCAGTATTGTGTTGCGAATTACTTATAGCGGTATGAAAAGCGTGGTTCAATCGTATATACTTAGCATTTTTCTTTTTTCTCAGTTTTATTTTCATGATTTTCTTTTGGGTGTCTTATCTAAGATTACATTAATCCATATTTTTCGAGTTGAAACTAAGTTCAGAAGGCCTGTTGACAAACACCTAGATCATTATTATTTTATCGTCCCCCTTGGCTTCTTAACTGAACATAGGGTTTCAACAAAACGTCTCCACTTTGCCCAGTTCTCTGAAGTCATCCTGTCACCCTCGGACCGACGCCCAACTCGTTGTTTCTCATTCGGGTTCCACTTGAGAAACTGCATTACGCTCTAAAGTCACCCGGCAGTCTTCTTCAAGCATATTTGTTTAGTAATAGGTTCTTGGTTGGTTCGTTCCCGGAGTTCCCTGTTTCTAATTCTTTCTGGCCGGTCAATTGATCTTCAATACGGAGACAGCTAAGTCAGTTGTTGATAAAAGTCTGCCGAAGCCTGTTGAAAATGCCCTTCGTGACACGGTGGTCAAGCCTCTCACCCATTTAGAGCATCGGGTGTGTTGGAAATCTGAATCTCGTCCTTTATGCTGAGTTAGTGTAGAAGACTTCCAAACTGATTTCAAAATGATGAAGGTCTGTCTCGTCTTTCCAATGAATCCGGTTTTGACATCGTAACCCATGATATCCGCCTGTAATTGAAACGATGTTGCTTAGATAAATGAAGGAGGCGACCTTATTCAAATTTCTTCCGTTGGTAGGGGTTGGTACTTATTCTTGTTGTTGTTGTCGGTTGGTTGGTAGGTTATTTTCATCACCAGTGTCTCATCTATGTTCACCCCTGTAGTCCTGTTCTTGCTCTCCGCTTCTTCGGCCAGGTATTTGGTTTACGCTTGTAGATCTTCGACTTTATGCCATACTAGACATAAATCATAGTATTATAAATATTGGAATACGAATAATCTTCAGCCTCCTACTCACTTATCAATTGCATAGATACCTGATGTTGACAGTTGACAACTTAATAATTAATAAATCAGCCGGGTTGATGAACTGAGTACTACTGTAACGACAGAAGGCAAGAGTTAGGCAACAGATCGTTTATTAGGGAAATCACATATTTATTGATTTTCATGTACATTATTATAGATTATTGTTAGTAGACAAACACAGTCCTCTGATTGATTGTTTCTCATTGAAAGTTAACCTTGCATCTCTTTGTGACTGTTTCTTGAATGTCAGATCATCTATATGTTAATTGTATCCACCTACGCAAAGCCTTTGTTCTCATTTCTTTCACCACCAATATTGGGGACATAAACATTGACGTAAATTACTGTCCATCAATTTTGGCTAACAGCCAGCTCTCACCACACTACTACTGTTCTAATATTTTTCATTACACCCCTGATCACTTTTAACTTCAATGAATTAATTGTGAAATTACAGTGAATAAAGTGTGTTTCTAATTTTTTTCTCTTAACTTCAGTGATTGGAAAGCCGTTGGTCGACAGCCTTTTGATAAAATGGTGACATTATTGGCACATCTTGGTCCACCTGGACATAAATCTGTTGACTGCATGTAAGTTTTCCCTTTATATAAAGTAGAAATCAGTTAATCAGTCACTTGAATCCCTAATATATTGCATAAGATTAATTACCTAGTCAGTAAATCTCATAGCTGAGCTAGTACAGCTTCAGGGCTAGTAATCTGAAATCCACTGGTTTGAAACCTACTGTGACTTAGACTGTCATTTTACCTTCAGTCAATACTCCTTAAAACAAATGCCTTTTTCTTCTTTTAAACAACTTCAACTGAATTATTTTAAATAAGGCATCAAGAAGACAAATTTCGCCGCGAGATGATATCGTCATTTCGTAGTTTCTTTACAACCACTTTACAACTAACATGGTTAACAATAATAAAATAAAGTTCATGACAATCACTCAGTTAAATAAAACAAAACAAAAGTACATACTAATGACCAATCGTATTTAAATAGGTCAAGTAGCTCATGGTAGACGAAGGTTGAAGTATATTGTTTTTTGCAGACATAGTTTAGGATGTATGTGGTTAATCCCCAGAGTGCTTCTATCACCTTCAATAACCAACCTTGAATTAGAGTTAAGTGGTGAAATAATTGTGAAACAGTCATTAATGATGATTTTGTGACTAGACATTAATAAGTGTTTTGCAATGGATGATGATGGATTTCTATTCAGATCACTAGTTGCATTGGGATTTTGTATATGATTTAGTAGCCATTTTGGAACATGTTCTTTTCGACGAGCACATTGGAACATTCTGTTGGTTCTACCTATATAGGTGTGTGTCACCGTAGCTGCTGGTGAACTTGTAGATACAGTTAGAAGTAGAGTCCACAGAATTTCGTCCTTTAATCATAGGTACAGGGATCGAGAATAATCGAGATGTGAGGGAAACAGATGCGTCGTAGAATGTGCGCTTGATGGTTGATCGAGGTCTTTCAGCTGTCAACTGCATACTATGATCACCCATAAGTGGTAGGTTAATAAAGACAGCTTTCTTTGGTACACAAGCTTTCTGTTCAAGATGTGCTCTATCTTTACTGTGAATTATTATACATGGAAAATGCTGACATCAGCTTTAAAAGCGAAAAGTTATCTTTAATTTCGACGAAATAATAAGATAAAGAATGATTACTGAACAAAGAATATTCTTTTCGATAAAACTACTCTTCTTCATCAGGTTCTACAGTTACATAGCCATCCATAATAATGAAAGAATGACTCATATTGACAACATTATTGGTTTTTTAAAAAGAGAGTAACATCGAGTCATTTAATTGAATTTTAGATTTTCCCGTCGATTGACTGAATCGAAGTGCTCCGTTTCAGATTGACATGTCAGCTTCTTGTGCAGATGCTTCGACAATGTCTGGGCATGTAATTAGAATTAGTCACCATCCATCAATTAAATTCGAATCATTTAGATCAGAATTCCAAAAGTTACCTACAAATAGATTGTTAATAGATTTATTGTCCAAAATACATGTATGTGGGTGATACGTAAAATTGTAATACTAAACTGAATACTTATGTTGCAAAAAAATAATTGTGAATGACAACGAAGGTAATAAATTCCCATGAATCATGTTCATATTAAATTCCAATCATATTGATGGATGAGTGATCACGTCAAGGTCGGGGGTAGAGAAAAAGAATTTTTGGGGTTGAATTTTATGCGCGTTGTGTGTGTGTGTGTCAGTGCGCAAGTTAACAACTCCGTTTAACTAATAGAACAGAAGGGTGGTTAATGCAGATGTAATGACAAGGGACAGGGGAATTTATATGTACAAAGGAACTTCACATACGCCATCTGTACATAGCTGAAGCATTAGCTATTTGAGATCTGAAACCGGACCTCTGCATACAAAAGCAATACATACATTCTCTCGCCCTACCTTGGTCAGAGTAATGTTGTAACTATAATTGTGCTAATTCTTTTTTATTATGCAGGTTCATTATTATTATTATTTGTATTACTACTATTATTTTATTATCATTATTATTCCCATCATGCATATTTTATTACCTCTCTATTACTGTTTGTTAATAACATTGCGTTTTTACACAGATTTCATATAAAAACACTTTATCGTCATTCAACAATTCCTGCCCATTCTACACGAGCTTACTGATTAGTCATTATTTCGCACTTATTAGGTCATGCTAACTTCTGCCTCTTTTCTAACTTACAATTAGTCATCCCTTCTTACACCTTACATTATGTAATGCATCTTTTGAGGACAAAGATTACCAGTATCTGATTGGTCTAAAGATCGGGTCCCAGTGGCTGAGTGGTATACGAGCTAGCTTACCTTGTAACCGGAAGGTCCTGGGTTCGAACGTCACTGAGGTGGGTGCGTACTGACGATGGTTCCCAAACTAGCAGCTGTCCAGTTCTCCAGTGCTGGTTTTCAATGCTTCTCTAACTGATATCAATTCGTGATCAACTAGTAATATAATTACGATTGTACAGTTCATGAAAATGAATCCTCGAAAAGAAAATTTTCTTCGCTGTTTAAGCCTTTTTCTTATGACTCAATATGCGAATATTTTGTTCATTGAATTTATATGTACAGGACATGGAAGGCCATATACAAAAGGCCGATAGAATAAGGCATTTATGAATTTGCAAACTCCACAGCAGGCCAGCACAGTAATAGCGGTTGAACAACCTGTTTCTTCTGTACACACAGAGCACGGTTTTTTTTTAGGCGAATTGCAATAGCCTCTACTGTTTGGATTATTCGGTACCTGGATGCTTTTGACAATTTATTATGAACATAACTTGTTACAATTTTATATATTACCACATACATGTACTTTGGACTATAATCTATTAACAATCTATTTGTGGATAACTTTTAGAATTCTGATCTAGATGAATCGATGTTACTCTCTCAATAAGAACCATCCTTTCATTATTATGGATGGCTATGTAACTGTAGAACCTAATAAAGAAGAGTAGTTTTATCGAAAAAAATATTCTTTGTTTAGTAATCAATCTATTGAAACCGTATTATTATATCTGAAACATGTAATGCACTCGGAGAAGAACATTATAATCACACACATTTTTATCATACACATTCATATAAAAGGTGACATAGCATAAACCGTCAAAATTTAATCAATATATTTCCGAATATTTACAGTCTCGATCACAAAAAAGCTGTGGACGAGTGAGTTAAGAAATGGAATAACCCAACCCCTACTCCTACAATTCGTTAACTCTCGCATTCTGCCTATTATTCTCTATTGTTCCCCCTTAGTTTTTCCTGGGCTACTGAAGAAAGACTATGCCATATTACGCGGGATGTTAAAGGTTGTCACCAGGGTAAGCCACAGGGTGCCACTTAACCAGCTTGTTATTATTCTGGTCAACAAGCACTTGGACTCATGTGAAAAATGGGCTAAATCCATTTTATCTGTCTAACTCACACCACCCTCTTCATTCATTCACAACTCTCCCCTTGTATCTATCTCATCAGGCAGAACCAGAAGCCTAAATAGAAGACTATATGCTCTCACTAGTAAGTAAAAAAACTCAATCATACCCCTACTTGTCTCGTTCGTGTCCTGTGCGATAAAGACAGCATTAGGCGTGAAACCTTTAACTTATTAAATAGTCAGTAGAACAAGTGGACCTCGTCTTTCCAACTCATATCATTTATAGGTACAGCGTTTTCTTTCTTTCTTTTCCTTTTTTATGTGGTGTTTTGTTTCTTTCTTCCTTAAAAACTCTATTTAAAACATTCTTCTTCTTTCTCTCACATTCTGTATATCTCGACGTTTTTGTTACCGCTTACGCCAGTAAATACGCTTGGATTTACTTTTCTAACACCTTCAAACATTCTGTTCAATGTTGGCTTTGCTACCGATATGCCAATATGTTGTTGTCAAAATTAACTGAGATTACCCTTAATCTATGTAGAATTTTATTTATTGTTAATGTACAAACTGGATGCAATACTGTATGTGGTGAAATGCTGAGAATTCCATACATTATCATGAGTACTGTTTGGGAATAAAGCAAATTATTATTATTATTGTTATTATTAAAAGGGATAATATCAAGTAAAATAAGCCATCCACATTTCGTTGATTCTCTTGCATCCAGAGTAGTACATTAGGCATTTAGGCTTTCAGCTTTCAGGTTTTAGTAACGTCGGTGCCTTTTTTTACAGGATGAAGTTATGTTGCCTCACGGCCAACCTTCCGCCTTTACATGGGCTTACAACCAACTAAGTGAGACTAAGGAGTAAATCGGCCTGAAATTAAACTCCAGAAATATTGGCAAGTAATCTACCCCTGAATCACCACCATCTTTCATATAAGATTAGTTGATTCTACATAACATACAGTATTAGTAACTGGATGACGTTTCGAACACAATTTATACCTCATAATCATACCAGTGTATTCTTATCACTTGATAGCTTACTTTGAATACTCTTATTGCCTGTTGTTTTTTTTATTGTAATACTCCACATATCTGGTATAGACGCTGTGTCATTTTTGTTTGCATATGTTTGGTGTTGCCTTGATGAACAAAGATTTGGTGATTAACCTATCTGTTGACTTTTTAATATTTTTTACTCTATCCCCTCCCCCCTCTTGTGTAACTGCATGCAAGTGAATGCATTACAATGACCGAGATTTCTTCCGGATTACTTAATTTAGTAGGGTGAATCATTCTGGATACTTTGATTGACCCAGTCTATTAGTTTGATCTATGGTAAATTATATTATTCATCCTATTGGGATCTATCGGGTACTGAAGCTGAGAAAGTTTGTCTCTGAGTGAATTATTATTATTTATTATTATAATTATTGCTCCCTTGGGTTCCTAGTGGAACATAGGGCTTCAACTGCACGTCTCCATTTTCTTATGTCTTCTGCTATACTTTTCGCCTGCATCCATGTTAATCCATATTCTTTCAACTCCTCTTCACACGATCTCCTCCATGTCACCCTTGGACGTCCCACACGCCGCTTCCCTTTCGGATTCCACTCGAGGGCTTGGCGCGCGATGTCACCCAGCGGTCTCCTCAGCGAGTGTCCGATCCATCTCCACTTTCTCCTGCATATTTGTTGGCTGGCGATTGGTTCTTGCTTTGTTTGTTCCCATAATTCCTTGTTGGTGATTCTTTCCGGCCATCTGATCTTCAGTATTGAGCGAAGACAGTTGTTAATAAAGGTCTGCAGCCTTTTGGAAATATTCTTTGTGACCCGCCAAGTTTCTGATCCGTATAGAAGAACTGACCTTACGTTTGTATTGAAAATTCGAATTTTGTTGGTAATGCTGAGTGACGAAGATTTCCAGATTGATTTCAGGCTGATGAATGTGTTTCTCGCCTTCCCGATTCTCGATTTGACATCCTCGTCCGCTCCTCCTCCTGTAGTTGAGACAATGCTCCCTAGATAAGTGAATGAAGTAGCCTCCCTCCCGTTGATGGTGATTGACGTTGAATGTTGTTGCTGTTGTTGGTTGGTTATTTTCATAACCTCCATCTTGTCTATGTTTACCTGGAGTCCTGTCTTTGCTGCTTCTTCGATCAGTTTGTCGGTTTTCGCTTGTAAGTCTTCGATTGTGTGTGACATCAAACATAAGTCATCCGCGAAATCCAGGTCTTCTAGGTTCTTCACGTTGGTCGGTCCAGGATATTCCTGTCTTCTCGTTTCCCACAGTCTGACGCATAATCCAGTCCACCACAATTAGGAATATCATTGGTGATAGTAAGCACCCTTGTCTGACTGAGTGAATTGGTTGATTTAAATACTACCTTAATTCCAATCTTATTCAGAATCTTACTTTAAGCCTCTGATTTTCCTTCTTTATATGACAGTACTGTTGAGTCTTTGAACTCCTTACTATATATATCATTAATTTTACTATTTATACTTTTACTTTTGTTTATTTTACCCATGGGATTAAGCCTTTTTATGGCTAAGATTTTAATTTTAAGAACCAATTTTCTATACTTTGGTTTGTAAAGGTTAGTTATGTTTTTACGAGTTGCCCACGGATTGATATCAGTTAAAGAACCATCGAAAACAACCAGGGAGTACTGGAGAGCTGCTGTTTCATCCTAGTTTGGGAATCATCGTCAGTGCGCACCCACCGCCAGGGTTCGAACCCAGGACCTTCCGGTTACAAGGCAAGCTGACTCGTATACCATTCAGTCAGTGGCACCCGATTTAATGGCCAGTGCATGAATTCTAACTTCTACAAGTTCGTGATTTAGAGCGACCCCAACCATTGTCGTTGGTGGGACATCCACGCACACACTTGACATCTAATTGAACCTCAGTGGTCACGACTTCTCACTAGAACTCCAGGAAACTCCAACCTGTTGCAAATCACTAGCGAGCATTAGATTAATCTTCTATAGTTTGGTTTGCAAGGGTTAGTTATGTTTTTTTTTTGAGTTGATTACGGATTGATAAGAACCAATGTTTATTTTACTTAATAGTATTTTCGACCTCCTCATCCTGTCTTTTCCTATCATCATATTTGCCTGCCTCTTTTTAGTGATCCTGACCCGTACAAAATTCTGACCTATGTTGATTAAATAATTATTATCTTATATCTGTCACTTTTAATTTTAAGTAATGAATGACGAGTATTTTTGTGATCAGAATATCCTCAATGTGGTGTGTAAGTGTATTACATGTTTCAGTCAGATTAGGTCAGCTTATTGCCAAGACCAGATAAGAACTGTCGCTAACATTCCTGTAATATTATCTTGCTAATTGTTTTTAAAATTATTTGATAAAATTAGATGCGATAATGTACTAAATGCTAGAAATTTCACACTGTATCATTAGTACTGTTTTGGAATAAATCAAATTCATCGTATCCCACCGAATCTTTCTAATAGAGTTCGTATTCGTCTACTGCACACAGCTGAGGCAGGCGATAGACATTCGAACTATTAAACCTAAACTATGCATTCAAAAGAAGTTCGTACAGCCATTATCCCTTGGCATATTAAGACATAACCAACTAACGACTTTCACACCACCCCTTGTTTATATTTTCAACCCCTTTCTTATCATCCCTCAATCTTATCACATGTTCATTAAAAACGTGTTTCATTTCCTTCCCTTATATTCTAACATTACTTAATCGGTTCATTTGTTTTTACTAGACTTTATCGACTACTATGTCTACCTGAACATTTGTTTATTTAACCATGCTATTTTTTCCATTTTTCGTGTTATCACAGATCGCCTCACTTTTTCATCCTTATTATTGATAAAACCATTAGCATTATTATCATTACAACTATTATGACTACTGTTTAATTGATGAATGGTGACTAGCAGTGGAATCCAGGATAGGGCGCATTTCGTCCTATCTGGAACTCGTCACCTGGATGCACCTGCATTCCCCAGTGAGTGATGATGTTCTCACTGAGGCTCGAACCTAGTGTCCATAGTTTTAAATGCCAAGGCGTTATCATTCACTGAGAAATGCAGGTACATCCAGCTTGACCACGAATCCCAAATATGACGAAATGCGCTTTATCCTGGATTCCAATGCTAGTCACCATCATCCATCAGTTAAATACTAACTAATTAAATGCCCAGACATCGTCGAAGCATCTGCACAAGAAGCCAACATGTCAACCTGAGACCGAGAAGCACTCCAGTCTAATCAATCGACGGGAAAAATCAAAAATTCAATTATATTATTACTAATTGCACAATTTATATTCACCATCTTATCATCATATAGGCAAGGCACCATGATTGGTTTATATTTGAATTATTTTGTAAAGTTATGTTATACTAGAGTTAAGCTTGATGAGATCTAATTGAACACAACAATATCACTGTTCGCTTAAATGTGTGTTGTTCTAAATTTTACTATGGGAATATTTAATATATTGAAATCAAATTATTACTATTGTTATCATTATTATTATTATCATTATAATATAAGGAAGTAATTGCCTTAAATTATGTTTAATTCTCATCAGAATAATGGAAATAAAATAGACATTGTACCATTTTTACAGAAGTATTCCTATATCTTATGAATGAGTATAAAATCTGAGTTTTGCCCTTTGAAGGTAAACAGATTATTTATCAAGTGGCTGGAAATATCAACAAAATATTCTTTTAGTAATCTTAGAAATTATCAATTAAAATTGGTATATGTGCTTGGTACATTGTAAAATTTAACTATTCATTCAATAAGCTGTCTGCATAGATCACTGATCTACCAAATTTGCACTCACCATGATGCTTATACTCTTGTGCATTTATCAGTTGTTCGTTTGAAGCGATTTGATTGGTTACAGGTTTCATTATGAGTTGACGTTGGTTAGACACAACCACTGGAAGATCTGGTAGTACTGGACAGTTGTTTTATCCGGGGATTTTGGAACTCTTCATCAGTATGCACTCACCATCAGGGTTCGACCCTAGGGCCTTCCGGTCACAAGACGAACCTGTAGACCATTCAGCCACTGGGATCCTGTCCAATGGTGCATGAATTCCAACTTCTTTCTATTCACGCAACTGCCAACCAACGTCACAGACGAGTAAATGTCCTCTTACCTGGCTTGATGAACCCTATTGCTGACAACTTTTCACTAGAACTCGAGGTAACTTCGTGTATAGATCCAGTCGGTAGCGAGCAGTAGAGTAATTATCGCGATTATTTGTTCAGTTGAATAAATGTGCTCCTGTGACTACTGTGAAAAAGTGGTATTGAAACGCCTATGTATTTTTTGTCATCTGATACCCAGTTGAGTCCTTATACTACTGTCTAGGGGCGAACAGTGTTTCAACTGCATACAAAGTACACTGTTATTTGAAAACGAGAGAAACAGTTATATAAGACAATTATCTGTCGGTACTTCCTACTTGTTATGCGTGAAGACAAATACTTGCCGATGACATTGGTCTGGTGCCAGTCGCGCTAAGGTCATGAATTGGTAGAAGTTGGAATTCATGGGCTAGCCAACGAACCGAGTCCCTGTGGCTGAATGGTCTACGAGATTGCCTTGTAACTGGAAGGTAAGGAGTTTGAGCTCTGGTAATGACTGCCTACTGACCAAAAGTTCCAAACTGCGACAAAACAGCTATACAGTTCTCCCTAGTTGGTTTTCCAATGGTTCTCTAACTGATATCAATCAATCGTCAAACTTTTTGTATTAATCTATTTGAATGTTCTTTTTTTTCTTTTGATCTATAGGTGGAATTATTTAGAAATACCATCAACAAGATTAGAAGATTGGGTACTACGTGGTTATCAGTTTAGAGATAGTGAAGAATTTAAGCATTTGAAAAATGCAAATGCATTCTATCAAGCTGGTACTAGCCGATTGGGTAATCCAGTATTCTACTACATTGCTAGACGATATAAGTAGGTCGTTCATGCCATTTTTTCTTTTAGTTCTGTTTAATCTGCTTCATATTTCCCGCCTTTTTCTCCTTTTTTTAAAGACCAAATGTAATTATATAATTATCTGTCAAGAGAGATAGAGGGAAAGAGCGAAATTTGAAAGGCTTGTAAATAGTTATATATATATATATATATACATGTATGATGGGGAAGATTTGTAGCTCAGCTGGATGATTTTGATGTAGTCGTGTTCTCTGAGCTGGATAGTTTATTTGCGAAGCTTTCATCGCCCCTTCCTGGCCAACATCTTCAGCGCATACTTCAATTTGAAGTGAGCCTTTTCTCCACGAGTTCATTAGTCATCTCTCCTGGTGGATGACCTTCAACGTCGTGATTGTTTGTTTTGTATGTGTGTGTTTTCACACCGTCTGGGTTACTTGTATTGACACTGGTGTTAACTGTTTCCTTGACTTGAACTTGAACCCTTTGAATGTGAAAAAATTTACCAACCGGTAAGAAGGAAATCTCACACACAAAGGGTCAAAGTTCAATTCAATGAAACAATCAACATCAATACAAGTAGCTGAAGACGAAGAGAACGTCCACTTTGGCAGTTGCTACAATTTATTTTGTAGCTGATTTTGTAAAACCAACGTACACAGGTCAAACTATTAGGTCAGGGGTAATCAGATTGTCGGAACATAAGAATTTAGCTAAGGTAAGAATAGTTGACCCCAAAAAGACAGATGAGTAATTTAGAAAAAAGCTCAGTGATTGCACTTCATGCATTAACACACAACCACACAATAGCATGGTGGAAGAGGGTGAAATTCTAAGAAGTAATATAGGTAGGTGGGGAGAGAGAAAGAGATTTGTTACTGAATCCTGATTGGTTCATCGAGTCTACCTACACCCAACACAACACGCGTAACAGAAATGACTCAATGCAAATACCAGAGAAATGCATGGAAGATATTATTACCACCAGTCAGTCAAATCAGAGGAGGATAATAAATAATCTTAAAATTCTATTTCAATTGAATTCACGTACATCACAACATTCTAACAAGTTACTTATTTATTTTGACTATAAAAACACTCGTCTTATTTCCCATCTAATTGATCTAATTGATCAATAACACTCATATTATTATTATTTCTGAATATACATTATCCTATATTGAATTTTATTCAAACGTCTAGTCGATTCCACACATATAAATGAAGGGAAAAAGTTGTGTGAGTGCGTCACTTGATATGATTATGAGTGGCAATAGTTTGTGCTGGAAATGTCGTCGTATCAGTTAATATCACTGTATGACACCACTGTGTGATTTATCAAAATAAAATCTTATCCATGATAGAGTTATGCCCTACCACAATGCCCTAGTTTTATACTTATCAATAGGCATGGTTTTGTCGTGCATCGGCCAGAAGTAGAACGGGAACCGTGTATATGGCTAGCGGGCATTCCACCAGTGAACAACCACTGACAATATGTAAAGCTAATTAATTTACTCGAAAAAAGATAAATATCGTATTTATTTTGATTATTCGTGTGATTGGATAACTCAGGATGACTAAGCATTTTGTTGTTGGTTGACATTTGCGGTGTTTATACCCCTTTTTTGTTTCTTCTTCTCCAAAAAGGTCACGAGAGTATCAGCGGGTAGAATATCCATTCATTATATGCTTAGTATCAATGACCCTGGATGCTTATCGTAATAAGCCATTTGAAGTTGTCATTGATTTCACTCATGCATCTGTGGAGAATCGTTTTAAGGTTAGTCATAGTTATTAGTTTATGCAATTTTTATGCTTAAAGATGATAAAACCGGCCGTATTGCATGTTGATTAGCTTTTATTGTTGTTGAATTTGTCGCCTATTAAATCTAAAGACTCAAAAATGAAGCTTGTATTGGTTTAAATCAGGAAAATAAATATTTCCTTCTGGCAATTGCATATTTTCAAGCTGTACATTCGTATTTATATTACTTAGAAAGGATTTCAGTAGTACTAAAAATTGCTGCATCATTCATTATACATAAGATCAAATTAACTAACATAATTTTTCCCAAGTGGGAAGGAATTACGGAATTATAATGGGCTAGGAAAAAAATGAATTGATATTAGCAGGTTTAAACTGGGTTAGGTGCTTTCAAAAGATTAAAATAATTTGAATAAAGCAAGAACAACAATAGTTTGTGCAGAATAAAATGGTACCATCATCAGTTATTTCGTTGGCTTCTCATCAGCTGCTTGCTTATAGGCCAAAGTCATTATTAAGTATATCTACAGAAATAATTTTGACATACTTGCACAGAGTTCACTTTAAAACGAAAAATCAATCAACCACTATATGCACACTATTTCGAACAAAAATGATCATACACAAAGGAAAATTTCGGTATTACGTAATCAGTTGAAAGGGAGGTGGAAATACCCAGTTACCAGAACGCTGAAAAAGAAGATAAAGTTAAGTTAGATTAAATCAATCAGAAAGAATGTTGTTACTATCACCAAAGTAAAAAAGGTTGTTTTTTGAAAAAAGTTTTTGATTACATAATTTGTGTTCTTGTGCTTGTTTGGTTACTGTTTTGCCTGTACTATTAGTGATGAAAACGAACAGTTTCATATTCGTCATAATTAGCTTTGTAGATAACTTTAAAAAAAGTAACCTACGTTACCTAAATCAGGATGATGTTTAGAAATGTAAGATTTTGCCATTCTACGTTCACCTTTCCTAAACCAAAACGAATAATGTTCAGCCTTGCGTTTTTGTGGAGAACTAGCTTACAACACCCATAGAAGCATGTTAAAAGATAGATGAGAATAGAGACAAATAGTGTCTTCAACAATTTAGGTCTTAACATAACTCCAGTTTGGTGATATTAGACAGTTGGAGCCAATCGTCAGGAAGCCTTTCTCGACATAGGTTTCATGCTAGTTGGCACTCACTGGCCAGCAAGGCCGGTGGGCGCATACTGATGAAGAGTCCCAAACTAGTACGAAACAGCTGTTCGGTACTCCCAGGTTACCGGAGGATGATGAAATCCTTCATCCAATCAGACAGAATTCCCAACAAAAATCAATACTTGGAAAAACAAAGTTGTTCGATTTTCGTGGTCATCAGACTTTCAAATACCAAACACGTAATGGCGATAGTTTATGCTTCACACATTATTATTATTAATTATTATTATTAAAAAGAATTATTTATTCGCTAAACACCCTCCTTGATTTTTCCCTGATTATAAATAAATTCCTTAATAATATAAATTTTGTTATTCAAAGAATTTTGTTTTCGTCTAAATATTTGTTGGCTATTATTCGTATAAAAAGAGGATGCATTATTTGGTCAACGTCATCAAAATATATTTCAAAAACAGTTATGAAAAAAAAATACTTCAAGGGAATTTTTATTCTTGCTTCACAAACCAAAATGTACGCGTGAATGAATTCGCCAGAAGTTTGATTTCGCACCAGTTTCACCAGCTCGCCCAATTAGCTAATCAGAAATCAGGTAGTGTGAAATGATTTGGCTCTCTGAACTGAACTGAGCTGAGCTGAAGTGGATGCACCATTGATGAGCTCTACCTTAAGCGAGCAAAACGTCTGCCTTGTGTTTGCATCACTTCGATCTGGCTAGCCAATAAATACTACTGGTTAATGTGAATGGTAACTACAATAACCCATCTGAATCAATCATTAGTAGTAGTTTAACGACAGAAGACAATGGTCAGGCAATAGATCGTTCATTGAGAAAATCAACAGATATTTATAGATTTTTATATAAATTATTATTCGTTACTGTTAACAGAGAAAAAGCGTATTAGATGGTTGGAGGCAATCGGCCACAGGAAGCCTTGCTCGACCTAGGTTTCGTGCTAGTCGGCACTCACACCAGTCAGCAAGGCGTATCTACAACCTTGAAGGAACTCATGTCCCTTCTGAGATTCGAACCCGCATCACCCAGTGGGAGCTGCAGTCAGAGACGTTACCACTGAGCTATTCGGGCTCGCGATTGACCTCCTGTGGGACTGTAGTGGATATTCGACACTAGTAACGTCTTCTGATTGATTGTTCTCCTACTGAAGGTTATTCTGTCATCTCTTTGTGCCCATTTCTTTGAAGGTCAGACCATATATCTGCTAACCTTATCCGCCCACGCTAAGTCTTCTGTGATTGATTGGTTGTTGATTTCCTCAAGGTTAGGCTTTGTTATTGTTCTATCTCGCGACACTGACGTATAGTGGTGGCTACAATTTTGGCTGGTAGACAGAGCTCTCACCACAGTAGAACATAGTTTTAGGCATTCACTCTTGGTTACCATTCATCTTATGAAGCAGATCATATTTATTGTGATGTGAATAATCTTGATTTTCAAAGGAAACTACGATCATGATGAAAGAATCATCTTGAACTGTGTAAATTGAGAGTTAATTTGCATAAATAAGAATTGTAGGTCAAATTCGTCTGTTGTCTCCATTTTCACTATTTTTTTTATATTAGAAAAGTGTAACTATAATAATGAATAGATTTACTGTTAGTCATGTTTACAGACTATTCATCAGTCTTTTGGTGAATGGGAAATAATGCAACTTACCACTCAAAAGTGTCATTCAACGCCTGTCGACAGAGAGTACCCAATAAGATCACTAGAAGAAATGAAGCTACATAAAAATGCTCTTTATTGGTTTGGCAAAGTTAAACTTTAAGCCCCACAAACTACCAGTTAACGAATGATCTCGAACGCACCAATCACGTGAAGGAGGTATTTTTGTGTATGGAATACATATATTTACTAGAAAAATGCATAAAAGCTGTCTAAAAGTGTTACAGAGGATACCTTTCACATGTAATAACAGTAGCTCTCAGTTTTAGGTTGTAGTATCAACAGAGTATAATTCCATTGTGGATAAAATTTATTTTGATAAAGTTTCATAGCAATATTTACTGAGTAACAGATTGTGCTCAAAACGTCATCAGTAAATATTACTACTGTATAATCCTGTGAGACA